AGCGCCCTCCTCGCCACAGAGTGCCCCCCGTGCCACGGAGCCCACACTTACCGAGAGATGTGAGTTTGGTCAAACGTTCACACATTTTACCAAAATGTACCTTGTGTTGCAAAAGATTTTCGCGACAGCAGGCTAGCTTAGCTTAGCATGATGACTGGAAATGGGGGGGAGACAGCTGGCTTGGTCTCTGTGCCAAGGGATTCAGATCAATCTACCAGCACCTCTAAATCTCACCAATTAACACGTTGCATCGTTTGTCTAAAGGGTTAAAACAGCATGTTTCAGCAGACACACGCAAGCTTCATATCGATGTTATCGGACTTTCAGCAAGAAAATAAATGGAGTATTTCCCAAAATGCCAAACTATTCCATTAACAGACAGCCTACATTCCTGCTGACATGCGTTTGTTGTGTTTGTTGTGTTCATGACAGGAAACATTGCTACTGGAGTGGGTCAATCCAGTGTACTTGGACATATCCTACCAAGAGCAGATCCAGGAGGAATTTGAGGACAGCTCTGAAATTCAGCTCAAAGATTTTCTTAAGGTAACTTCTCACTCGTTTTTTTTTTTTCTTCCTCGCACGTGTCCACTTGTTCCTGTCGGTTGATAACGGGTCTGTCTTCAGGAAGAAAAGTTCAGGGAGGTGAAGGACGCACTGCGACTCACTCAGATTCAATGGACAAAGAGAGGACCACCTAATAAGAGGTAGGACATGTTTCAGAGATTATTTAACAAGTGTATTCCAGGACTGTGAATCCAGGAGCTGTATATGTGTCCATTTAGATGCTATGAAGCGGCCTCTCTGGACACTCTGCCTCAGTGTGTGAGTGCATGTTGGGAGCTGCTCTGTTCAGAGGCTTTCTTCCTGCTTCTCTCCAACTTTACCGGCCTCCGATTGCACTACCTGTGTCCTGCCGACGACGACGACGACGAGATTAAAGATGAAGAGGAGGAGGATGTACGGGACGCAGAAGCCACAGGGTCTTCGACCGAATCACCACCGGCAAATGCGAGCAGAGAGAAAGGTGTGTGTGTGTGTCAGTAGTAGTGGGTTTCCTCTGCCACAAGTTTGTGCAGCTGTTTACGTGTGTTTTGTTTGCTTTAGAGCTGAGCACACCTGTGTGTTGTGGTGAACTACGTCGATGGTCTCACGGCGGCTACACTCTGTTGCATGATGCAGAAGCAGCGCGGGCAGAGTACGCTCTGGACCTTGTTTTACCTTTTTGCGGTGTGGGTAAGTCGACGCGCACACACGCACACACAAATCCATCTTGTGACTTTTACAAAACTTTCTTTCATAGACTGGCAGTCAGAGTTTGGAGGCTTCACTTGTTATGTTGCTAATGAAGAGGATGAGGAGGTGAGTGTTGATTACAGTATAAAGTGGAATTGTGTGTGTGTTGGAAATACATCATTATCATCATTGCTTTGGTTTCTTCCTCATCGCAGCTGCTGACAGTGTATCCAGAGGATAATTCCCTCGCCCTCGTCTACAGAGACAAAGAAACCCTCAAATTTGTCAAACATATCAACCACAGAAGCTTGTCTGATTCTGCATTTTATGACTTTTCTTTTGTGTACTATGAATAAATATGTCTTATCTTGTTGGTTTTCTTGACATCTTTGTTTCATCTTTTTAAAAAGGTGGTGCCTACATTTTAGAACATACCACGTACACATTCACAGATGCTGCCCTCGTCTGTGGGAGCTATTTGGGGTTCAGTATTTTGCTTCAACCACAAACCCTTTGTTTACTTGAACGCACCATCTTGAAACTAAATTAAACGTTTTCTGTTTAAAATATATTTTTCAGGGATATCTGTTTGCAAATGCTCAGTCCTCTAAAGGTCTGCTGAGTTTTTCAGATAGCTCCTTGTCTTCATTTCATGAAAATTACAAATCAAAGATTTTGGTTGAATTGGCACTGCTGCTGTGATTGCAGTAGATATCAGCCTTAAATGTGCGAGATGACAATTGTGCGAAGATGGGATGAGACGGTTCTGTCCCAGCGCTTGTCTTAAATTAAACTGAATCATTGTTGGAATGCTGTTAAGCATTCCAACTATTGTTCTTCGAATCTTTATTCCTCCTTATTTTCTATTTCTTCCGTACGCTTTTTGAAACTCTTCTGCTCCTTCATATTTTAAGCTACAGAAACCGTTCAACTATCAAAATGTTCAGCTCTTTCAGCTCATGTCTGCTATGACTTCATATTTCTAACCTTTAAACTTTTTTGAATTATTAAGCTTTTTGCAACTTTTTTTTGTATGGGATGTCTATGGAGAACATTTTCAAATCCTCTTAAACTTTTTCAACTTTCAAATCCTTCTACTTCCTCATACTTTCAGCTACAGACACCATTTTAACTTTCAAATGTTGAGAAAATCCTGATATATTGCCGCATAATTCAGCTTTTTGATATCTTTTACACTTTTTGAACTAACAATTTAACTTTTATGATTTTTTTCAGTCCTTTTCTGTTTTTGTAATGGGTGTGTATTGCGCAGTTTAGAGTGCGTGATGTCACCGCTAGAGTGAAGAGCAGCTTGAGATTCTTGTGAAAAAAAGATTTGTCTTTTGCCACTGTGTCCACAATCTTCACTCTTCATGCATAATCTCTGGATGTAGAAGTAGCTAATCTTGTCCTTGTCGTAGACAAATGACTGAGGAATCCCACAGATTTACACATTTGGCACAGAAGCCTGTAATTGAGAGGAAAACCAACTTTCTGCTCCATAGAGACCAATGTTAAATTTTGCCTCAAAAACATCTTCCACAGAACACGGTACCCCATTTCTAGATCGCCAGTTCAGCCACATTTTTTTCACTACAGACACAATTTTTACAGGATCTGTTCTTGAACTCGTCCTTCCTCTCATTTATTAATATCGAAGCAATAGGAGCTACGGTTATGGGAGTTTTGAGGATTTGTTTGAGAGGTGTTTCCCTGTTTAATCTCCATGAAAAGGCTGCAAGGACACAGGTGTTTCTGATTAAGCTAATTAGTGATGTTGATAAACAGACACAAGCACCTCTCTCTCTCTCTCTCTCTCTCTCATACAGTCATTCAGGTTCTTAGAGATCTTTAGAGGATCCCCCCACACACACGCACCCCATTTAAAATAAAAGCCCCACAGAGTGAATTCTAACTGAAATGCTTGTGATGAAGCCTGTCATTTAATAACCTGTTTGTGTTAATCTAACAATATGAGTCCATCTCCTCTCCCCTTCTCCCCCCCACACCCCATTTCAAAATAAAAGTCCCACAGAGTGAAATATAACTGAAATGCTTGTGATGAAGCCTGTCATTTAATAACCTCTGTTTATGTGTCAAACATTATGATTGTGTCTCCTCTCCCCCCCACCCAGCCCCACCCTTTCAAAATAAAAGCCCCATGGATTAACTATGTAAACATTAAGCTCAAAATTAGGCTTTTTTGTTGAAATAATGAATGCTCTTACTAATACTGCGACAACTACTACTGCTGCTAATGTTTCTAGTATTACTACTACTACTGCTGCTACTACTTCTACTACAACTTTTGCTGTTGCTACTATTACTAGTGCTATTACTGCTACATCAATATTATTACTACCACTACAACTGCTACTACTGCTATTCATGCTACTACCAGTAGTAATACTACTACAGCTATTAGTACGACTGCTACTAGTACTACTACTACTGCTATTACTGCTACTTCAAATACTGAAATTACTTTTACTACTACTACTACTACTACTACTACTGATATATTAAATACTACGACCACTACTACAGCTATTACTACTACTACTGATACTACTTCTAAATACTAACACTTCTACTACTGATACTTCTACTACAACTACAACTTCTACTACTATTACAAATATCACTACTTCTACTACTACTACTTATTCTACTACTAATAATACTTCTACTACAACTTCTACTACTATTACTACAAATATCACTACTGCTAATATTTTTTTAAGCTACAGAAACCGGTCAAATATCAAAATGTTCAGCTCTTTCAGGAGAGGGGTGCTTTGACTTTTCATATTTGTAATCTTTAAACTTTTTGAATTAAGCTTTTTGCAATTTTCTGTTGAATGGGATCTCTATGGATAAAATCTTCAAATCCTGTTATACTTCTTCAACTTTCAAAGCCTTCTTGTTCCTCATAATTTCAGCTACAGACACCATAGTTAGACATTTCAACTAGAAGGGTTTTCAGCAGTGCAGTTTAAATGCTTTCAGGCTTCAAAATTTTTCAGACGGGTAGTCTCCCATTTCTTAATTTTCAGCAATTTTTTGACAATTAATTTCAGCTTTCAGCATTCCAACGCATTTTCGGCAGGAAATGCATTTTCTAGTTAAATATGACAGGTTATCTGTTGGTGTCAGTGTTTGAAGGTTGTAGTGAGAGAAACATGAGACAAGTCAATGGATGTAAAAATGAAGAGCCGAATAGTTTTGTACCGAAATCAGCTAAATATTGTCCACATAATTGGATCATCTAAAAAGTAGCTTATTATTTTCAGTCAATCGATATTCTATTAATTGACTAATTTATTTCTGCACTGGTGGATACAATTCCCAAGTAACAAAAGTTTCCTTCTTGTAATACATTGTTGCCATGCTTTGCATTGTTATGGGTTTTTCAGCAGCTGTTTTACAAGGCCAAACACTGGATAATGGAGAAGATCTGTGTATTCGTATTGTAAATGAATTACAGAATCATAGACAGTCACTTGGCCAAACAGTCTCTCGCCCTCAGCCACTTCCTTGACATATTTCACTGATTATTTTAACCCTCATCAGTTTACCCCTTACATTAATGTTTATATTTCAGTAATACGGAATAATAAGGACATGTTCATGTTAAAAGATAAAGCAAATGAGATGTTTTGCCCTACATTGAAAATAAAAAAACTCACTTCCTTCCTGTCACGATTCTTCACCCCAGGCGGCATGTAGATTTCCACCAATCAGAGCGTTCTTTGATCCATGCTCAGCCAATGGGAGGCCAGGAAGTTATGACGTGTCAGTGGGTGTGATCCCGCAGGAGGAAGCGTCAAGCCACCGAACAATATAACAAAGTTTTAAGGTAAGTTTGTTCCCACTTTAACAACGACTTACTGTACAGGGAATACAAAGAAGGATGATTTACCAGCCACGTGTGCCCGATCCAGTGTCTGAGCCGTAATGTAAACACTTTTAGCAGTTTATTTGTCGCACCGTGGCCGAAGTTTTACGGCAGTTGTGTCCAGTCTACGTTTATCAACACGATCTACGTCCTACCTCCTTTTACGTCTTACATTAAAAACACAAACTCTCTTTAACTGTAAGCATGTTAACTCTACGTCTTGACGAAGACATTTAACACCTTGAAATTATAGTAACATCTGGATGTTTTTTTACTGTACAGATATCTAGATACGGTAGAATATATTTGAGCAATAATTGGAATTGGTAGGAATGATTTCTCTCTGTGTGTGTGTGTGTATACCGCTGTGAGTATTGTTATCTGACAGATTGTGAACATTTGAACCCATCCTTCAAGCCCCCACACAACCACGGTACACCCACTCCGGTGTTTTCACTTATTCCTCCTGATTAGACCTCCTGTCTCTCTCACTCTGATGTTGCGACAAAGGTACAGCAAACGTCCCCCTCTCTGTCACAGGAGTGCTGTAATTCCCAGAATAGCTTTAATGTTTATGACTTGCAAGTTTTTACTTTATGAGACAAGTCAGGACATTCATATGATTACAGAGTTGATTTAGTGAGAGTTACAAATATTGTACATTGGCAATATAACACTTTATTCATTAAATGTGGTTTGATTACCTTGAACGACGGACTGGCTGACGAGAGGCGTCCATGTTTGAGATATGTAATGAGCAGATCCCTCAGTATAGGCCGAACTGAAAGCACCTGTGCAGGACCTGTATATATTTATACATATTTGTATTTAGTGTACATATAGACAAGAATCGTATTGATTTTAAAATGTAACGTTTGTGATGACATTTTTAGATTTTGTATTTATTGACTTGCCTCTAAATTCCATGGATATGATTAAATCGAAGGGCTAAGTAAACAATTAGTTATCGCTGAAAGTGTATTATAAGTTTATATTTATCTATAGTTGATTAATCAGTTAGCCAGTTGACATCAACTCCCATCATCACATGAACGTAAAATGAGTAACATCCTTGAGTGAAGCAAATGTTTCCCCTAAATGTCAGCCAAGCTGTCCAGGGAGAGGTAGCCTTTTGACAGCAAAAGCTAAATGATATATTTTAAGCTCCTGATAATCACTTAATCCTCATACAGCTGTTGAACAAATCTCAAAGTATACTTCCAGTATACCGGTAGATAGGATAACACATAATTACATCCTGGCTAAGTTGTGGCGATTCCTGTAGAGCCAGGAGCCATAGCATACTGTGTATTAGTGAAATATAAGGACATGCATATAATCCAGCTCAGAGGATGCTCTTTCCAGGCAGAGCGCTCTGCAGCCCTCGCATGGAGACAACACCAGGAGTGAACTAACGGGCTAACGGGCGAGTACAGCAGTTAGGGGCTCGGCTGGGGGAGGGGAGGACTGAGATTAAACATGTTTTTATGTAATGAGCGTTTCTAAAGGAGGCTGGAGTGAAAAAAGGTTAAAGAGGAGTGAAGCCGAGACAACCGGGGACCGCTCGGACAGAAGTTGTTTTAACTCTAGGAGGGAACAGGCAGATATATTTAGAGAGGTTATGTGATTCATCTTTCTCTTCGCTTTGATTGGAAATTGTTTCATCAGTTGAAAGGAAAAACATATTAAACATTTGATCAGATTCAGAATCTGATGGACAATTCAGTGCAGTGGTTGCGTAACCGAGACAATATCAACTGTTTTTGTCACCACATGTATTACATTTCATAACTTATTCAGTACCGTTTCAACAACAGTGATACATGCTTATCACAATATAACAGAGCCGAAGGTGATGTAATAGAGGACCAAAGATCATAGACAACAACAAATCCTCACATGTAAGAAGCTGAACCAGTGAGTGTTTGGCAACTGTGCTTAAAAAGGATTCAAATGATTGTACTCTAACGTATTGTCTCATAGAAACCACTCAACCTGATTCCTGCCAAGCTACTCTCAAATATCAGCTGCAGTCAAATCGCAATATTAAAATTGACTACTTACCTTTGTTCAACTATAAATACATTAAGTTGTCGCACAACGGAAAGATATTGAATGCAATCATGACTATTGTGAATTGCTACCTCACTAATCCTTTGACAGTGTTGACCTTTGTGGGTTTTGTTTTTATTCAGCTCTCATGATATCATATCAAATGGTTGTAGTTTTATTTAATAAGAGCACTTCTCAACAATCCTAAAAGGAACAAGACAAGCAGTCACTTATATTAAAGTAAATTATATTTATTGATTCATGCCACTTTAGAGAAAAGATAGAATAGGATTATGCAACAGTCACACACAGAGGTTACAAATACACACAGAGAAATATAAATGACTTTGTCTGTCCCGTTCGCTGACTGCTGGATACACAATCAAATATAAACAACTGCACATATTCACTTACACACTATGAAGGATAACATTGTAATTGAGGAAATGGAGGATAATCTCTGCATTTCAAGGGGTGGAAAGTATCGTGAAGGCAATGAAACATACTCCTTCAGTAACTCATTACAAACGGTAGTCTCTGATCACTGCAACTGCTTCTGAGTTTGCTTCTACCTGTTTATTTGTTTGTTATGTATTGTACATATTATGTTATTTATGTATGATTGAGATGTTTCTATGTTTTATTCGTTTGTAACGACTTGCTTCCTGTTGCTGCCTTTTTGGCCAGGTCGTCATTGTAAAGGAGGACTGGTTCTCATAATAAGGTCGAATAAAATAAAATAAACATATTTGTGGAGAGCTGCGGGCAGATGTAAATATCTTTAAATGACTCTTCCTCCGCAATATTTCAAAGCAACTCGACACACTGACGCCTCTTTGGCTTTAACTAATTACATCCACCCTCTTAGTGACTTGGTCGACTTGTGTTGTCTTCATGTTGTGTTCAGAAGATGGCAGACAAGACTGTGGATCGTGGGCCATGGACAGGATGTGCCGTCATGTTTCTGCAGTCACTCTGTCCTGGTGTGAACCTGCTCTCACTCTTCAAAGACAGAGAACAGGGAAAGTTCATCGTTTTCAAAGTCATCAAGCTGACACTTATAGGTGAGCCCTCGACTTTAGCTCCACTCGGTATGCCTCGTTAACTGATGCAGATAAAAGATGCATTCATCATGACGAATCTGTATTTTTCGTGGAAGTCACATTTATTAATCTTTTTTTTACGCGGACAGATTCTGCAGGAGGTCTGGGTGGTTACGAGATACTTAAGGTCCATGACGCTGATCCCTTTCTGGGGGTAGAGGTGAAGTTTGAGGATGTGGCAGCATGTCAGCAGTTCCTGGAGAGCTACAGCTCTGGAGCAGTGCGTCAGTCCCTCTCTCAACACGCCTGCCGGCTTCTTACTCTTCCCCAAGAGTTCACAGTGGAAACTCAGCTCAAGGCCAGCACACACATCCTGGATCTCTATCTGGACAAGCTGGAACTTTGCCTTCAGCACATCCACCTGTCACAGGTATACTTGACTCTTCTGTGTGTCTTCTCTTTGGCTATTTGAGATGGAGCTCCAGTATTTCAAAATCCCATTCAGTCTGTACTTATTAAGCGGGTTAATCAGACTGATTTGCCAATTAATTTCATTCATCGTTAATCATTCATTCAGCCTGACGTGTTCATGTCAGCTGATTTCTTCATGTGATTTTGTTTTGTTTTGGGCTAACCAAACACTAGCCAGTGATTGATCCCGCCGACCTCATTTCCTGTTGACGATGAAGCTGCGGGTGCAGTTAACTTTCAGTCAATATAAGTTGTTATTTCCGCACTATTTAGCATTTTCACGCAATAGCCTCCATGGGTTTTGGGAACCAGAGGCCATATAATAACCAAAGAAATAAGAAAATCTTTGGAATAAACACAGTTGAATTGACTTCTGTCATCAGATGTATTATTTCCTGTTTGTATACAATTATTTGTGTGTTAGAATCTGCTCATAGCATTGTACAATTATATAAATATTCAATTATGATTAATAACAATAAACATAACAAATTATAAAGGATTTTTTAAGGATTTATAAAGTCAAGTTTCATGATACTTCATAATTTCTGGTCACTCACTGACTATAATCACCATAGTTTTATCAATCACGGTTATAAATCTTTATAATGTGATCACAAGTTACTCTGAGTGGTCAGTGTTTGCATTAAGTTTTGTGTGTTGTTGTTGATGATATTTCTTTCACTTTACTTGAAGTTTTGTTAGTTCACCTCATTCCTTTTATTCAGTGTACGTGAACTTTGTCATTTTGTGTCAGCCGGAGCGCCTGCGCGATGAGGAGATTGAGCATCTGGAGGAGCAGCTGAGGACTCAGGCCCGCGGCCCGGCCCCACAGCCGACCCCCATCACACAGGAAGAGGGTCCCGTCCCCAGCCACTGCTTCAAGTTTCAGAATAAAGTGTTTGGTGAGTCGAGTCGACCGTTTCTACTTCTGAGTCTTGTGTAGTGTGTCCTTCACAGACTTGGTGCCAGACTTTTGGCCAAGTGAGGTCACGCTAGAGATTAAAAAAGCATTAAAAAAAAATCTTCATCACTTTAACTGCTTGGTGGCTTTTATTATCAGATTCAGCAGAAGCACATGGTTCAGTGACAAATAGGGATGAAATCATGCTGTCAACTTTAAATCACCATACCACATTGCTTCCAATCATTTCCCAAAGCATACCATGAGTTTTTAATTGATTTCCTGTCTTCCAGACAGCCATTTATTTGACATCGTTTAACAACGTGTTAAACGGAAGTTGAGATAAGAAACTTGCTTGTAATATATAATCCACGAGAGAGAACATCAGCTGGTATTTGTTTTTTACAATCCGACACTGACAGCATTCAGTGCTGTTTGTCATCTGACTCTCTAATCCAACCTTTTATAAATTGATGGTCAGTCTATGGGAAGAGATTAGTGCCAGCAGATAATGTATTTGGATTGCATTGATTTGAGATTGTCGACCTCATGTTGAACTGTTAAATTAACATTAACTGATGAGGCATTAGACTGTCTTGCAAGTTAATTTGATTTTCTATTTTCGTTAATTAAAGATTTGATTTCAGTTCATGTAAATGTAGTTTCAGCTTCCTCAGACACACAACTGTGTCTGGGCATCAGGGACTTCTGTTCCCTGAGTGCCTCCTCCAAGGCTCCAACAGCCCCGGCTGACCTGGTTTCTAGTTGACTCTGAATAATGAAAACTGATTTTGTAATGTTTAAGCCAAATTTGAAAAAAAAAAAATGAAACAAATTAATTATAAATTGATTTCTGTTAATACATGACAAGATCAAATGCATGCAATTTAAATGCACTAATCTCTTTTATTATCTGTCACATGCTGGGTGGCCACATGTGTAAACTACCTATAAGGTAGCCGCTGGTATATGAAGGCAATGTGGTGGCTTTTTCTTTGTAATTGCTTTAAGCGTTAAGCTATGAAACTTGTCAAACTCCCTCCTTGTTGTAGGCAAAATAAGAAATATAATCCACTTCAGACGGACGCCGGATCAAACCAGAGCTGCTCACTTGAACCTTTTCTCTTGGGATTTGTAAATTGATACCACCATTGATATTTAATGGAACTAAAACACCTTATTGTTCAGTATTCACTCACACATATTTACAACCATGAAGATGCACAAGTCAATATTGTATCGACAGTGGATTCAATCACTTTGGGTAATGTGAAAGCTGTCGTTTGTGGTGGAAAAACTTCATCTCCACTCGGCTTTAAGGAGCATTTGAGCATGTTTCAGCTCATTGTTTTGGTTTTATGACCTGCAACTTAGCAGTTTTACTTCATTTTCACCGCTCTAATAAGCGTTGTTTTCAGTTAAAGGCCTCTGCTCTGCACCAATCAGCAGACAGACACAGTTATCAACAAGCTGGTTAAATCAGTGGAGCATTCAGCAGCTAAAGAACCAGATATTTCTCTAAGTTGAGTTGGGGGGACCAAATCAGTAAATATTGGGCTTACATTTGTCAGGTCACAAACAAGACTCCGAATTAATGCTTCCTCTTTTTCCTTCATCCTTTACCCTTTGGCCTGTCAGAGGACCGAATGCTGACTGCGGGAGATGTTCAGAGCTTTTCTAACGGAGTGGGCCGCCAGTGGAAGCATGTGGGAAGGGCCCTGGGGAAGAGCTGCCGGGCTCTGAAGGGTCTGGCCATAGACAACCTGGCCTACGAGTACGAGAGAGAAGGGCTGTATGAGCAGGCCTATCAGCTGCTCAGTCGCTTCATCCAGGCAGAGGGGAGAGCGGCCAAGCTGAGCCGACTGGTCAAAGCGCTGGAGGACTGCAAACTCACCAGCCTGGCTGAAAATATTCTGGAGCTACAGCCACGAGAGTAACTCGGTGTGCTTTTGTTCTGTGTGTACGAGTTTTAAAAACTGAGGGGTGACAGACCCTCTCTGCATGAGGAGCGGTTGACATTGTCCTGCCTGCTTATAATATACAATGTGTGTGTTCTTGATTGACTGTCTGTCATTCAAAATCATTCCTGTGTGTGTGTGTGTGTGTGTGTGTGTGTGTGTGTGTGTGTGTGTGTGAGAGAGTGCATGTTTCAGACAGGTTGTGTGAACACATGCTAACACATCTGTGAGAATTGATTCATATCATGATTTGCTCTTCAATTATTAGTGGTATTGTTTCATTTAGAGGAAATGATCTGTCATCACTGTTTAAAGGACACGCTGTCTGGAGTTTAATGCACTGTTTAAACCTTTTATTTGTGCTTGATGTCATTTTACAGATGAACCCTTCCACAACTGAAGGTTATTGATTTTTTTTTTTATACAAAATGGGTGCATACAAATTAAATGGTTGTATTAAAAAAAAAAAAAAAAAAAAAGTCTTCATGTTTGTGTTTGATGCATTAGTGTAATTAAATCTGAAAACATAATTTTGTCAAAATTCCCTCAGGTATAATTTAGTGTTAATCCTCCCTCCCTACCACTCGCACACACATGCACATGCTCATATGATTAAACTGTGCTGATTACACTGCATGTGTCACGTGGGAGCCTGAGGGCAGAGAGGTGGAGGTGTGTTTTTCACAGGTTGTGTCTCACCTTGGCTGATGGATGGAGTCTCCTCAGGTTGAGCTCCTCAGCTGGTTTCCATTCAGGGTCCACTGTAAAACCCCAACTCCCCTTTTTTTACTCCACTTGACCATCCATCCAGATGTGATGTGTGGATTAGAAGCTTTTATGACACACACACACACGCACACAAACATGTATTATTGCTATATGGTATAGCCACAACCCCCAACGTAGACATACACAGTTTAAGTCATGATAAACAAACGCATCCCTCTTTACGTCTGGTATAATCAGGAAACGGAGGTTATGTCCTCAGTATGAAATGTTGAGGAGTTGATGTTCTGCCCTTACACAAACATTGCACATTTTGGGGTTTTAAAGCAGATGCTGAGATTATAATACATTTTTTTTAAGTATTCGTATCTGGCAATGTAGAAAAGGTGACTTTGAAACAACATAGATCATAATACAGGGAAATAAATATAAATCCATATAAAATATGGTGATTATTTATTTTTATTTGAGATTACGGTTGGTGACGAGCCCATCATTTCTGGGGTGCGTTGAGTTTCCCTTGGCAGATTTGGCATGACATCTGTCTTTTATTACATATTTACTTATGATTAGCAGAAGTGGAGAGTGATTAGGTACATTTACTGAAGCACAGACACAATTTTTCTATTTTCTTAGGCCTATGTTTTAGGCACTGCTACTTGAGTAGCCTATTTCCATTTTATTTAAGCTTCATTTTCCTTCTAGGCTACTCTACTACATTCATTAAACATCTGTATTTAGGCCTAGTTGTTATTTTAGGGATCAACTTATTATTATACAAAGCCTTTGATAATCTTAAAGTAACATTTTGAATGCAGGACCTTTACTTGTAATAGTGTATTTGTAGCCTACACTGTGGCTTATATTTTTACGTAAGAACGGGATCTGAAGGGCTACCTCCTCCACTGTCCTTTTTACTTTATTGTAATGTTACTTAAACAAACAATTGATGAACCGACTATATCTTTATGTAGGCTAATTAAAAGACACCGTTAATCGTGTTCTCCTTGAACGCCATTCACGCATGTGTGTCAGGCCTGTTTATGTTGTTTACGTCAGTGCAACCCTTGTAGAAGAGGAGAATATTAGTGTCGAGGCGTTTTGATTTCAACAACAAGACCATTTACATTAATGCCAAGAGACAAGAGGGCAACAGTTGCCATTTAAACGGCTCTTTCATTTGAATAATCTTTCATGGGACGTGATTAAAAGCCCGGCTGCTCTGACGTAAGCGAGATTTTCCGCGTTAGGTGAGTCTCGCGCAGCCAGCTCTGCTTCACTCCTCGTCCTCTCGCGCTCGCTGTTATCATCATCACCAGCAGCACCGCCCTGTAGAGAGAGAGACAGAGAGAGAGAGAGACCCCCCCCCCCCCCCCCCCCTCTCTCTCCACCTAACAACAACCCCAGCCCCGCAGGCTCGAGCACAACGACCCCACCCCCCAACCCCCTCTGAGAGAGGAGACGGAGCGAGAGAGAGGCGCATATACAGAGTCACGGAGAATATAGACCGTTTTCTGGATCCCGGCTCTGTTTTGCCCTCAATCCGGGCCTAATGCTGTAGCAGACAGCGCAGGAGGAGAGAGCTCGAGTGAGAGACAACGCACTGATTGAGAGTCGGTGAGGGACGACGGGATTGTGCTCATTCGCCTGGAAACATGGGATGTACACTGAGCGCCGAGGAGCGCGCTGCTCTGGACCGGAGCAAGGCCATCGAGAGAAACCTGAAGGAGGACGGGGTGGTCGCCGCCAAGGACGTCAAGCTGCTTCTGCTCGGTAAGAGGAGAAACCTCCCCGGCTGCGCGGCACGGCTCGGTTTGGTTTGTGGTTGTGGTGGGACTGCATGGGGCGGAGGTGCTCTCCGTGGTACTGATCTGATTTCACTGCCGGGTCTCACTCTAAACCCTCCGTTCTTTTACAGGCGGCGGGGAGTCCGGTAAAAGCACCATCGTCAAACAGATGAAGTAAGTGGCTCTTTTTTTTTTCTCGCTTCTTTTAACCCTCTCCGACTCCGCCAGAGTAAAAGGCCCGAGATTTGCGCCTCCCATATCTGTGCTAAGGCAGGTTGAGCCGCCATGTTTCGAGAGGCCGTATAGCACCGGAGGAGTGCCGGTGACTCGAGCACCTCCTGCAGACGGACAGCGAGGCTGCGGAGGCCGCCCCGGTGCGTCCCAGGGCGCTGTTCACTGCCTGGGTGCTGAAATGTAGTGAACACAGGTTTTTAGTTGACGACAGGGAGTGTGCGACTGGGAATATGTGGGTGTTGTTCCTCTGTGTGTGTGTGTGTGTGTGTGTGTGTGTGTGTGTGTGTGTGCGTGTGTGCGTGTGTGTGCGCGTGTGCGTGTTATGCCTGTGTGTGTGTGTGTGAATTACATTGAGGTCACTACAGCTCCATTAGTGAATACCTCTACTTTTAATCTTAATGGCTTTAAGTGCCCGATATCGCCGGGAGTACTTTGCCTATAAAGCGGATTTAAGCAGAAATATGGCTTCTAAAACCGCATCTAAACCTTCCCCTGTCTAAGCTAAATCATCTTTTGATGTTTTAAATCACTGTTGTTGTTTTCTCTAACCCTTTTAGTTAAGTTTCCAGATATTTCTCTAGGAAAAGGCACGGTCCCTTTTAGGTTATCTATTTTGTTTTGTGAAACATCTCCCGGTGTTTGTGGTGTAGCAGTGTTTCTCTCTGCGCGTCCCGGCCTGCAATGCACTGACTGCGCCCTTCCTCCCTCCCTCCCTCCTTCTTTCCCTCCATGCCCTGCTTCCTCCTCTTCCCTCCACCTCATTACCCTAGCCGTGCACGGTCTCTGGTCGTCCATAAATCACTGCTGTGCCCTGAACACAAACGCCAGGTCCAAATAGTGTTTACAAATACTTTTCAGGGTTTGTTTTAGCGTCAGCAAGCAGCAGATGGATGGTTGTTACCTGCCTGCACAGTGTGGGTCATAACGTTTAGGTGTTGGAGAGCAAGTTTAACATGCTCTGCTGTAATAGGTCCTCTCATCATCATCACCACCATCCTCACTTGATATGCAGGTTAGTATAAAGGTTGAGAGTTTCATGTTGTGTGATCCAGGCCTGGAACTGTGGTGGAGGTTTACATTGCAGTGAGAGTGAAACTACACCTGCTGTTTCACTGCATGAGTGTGTGTGTGTGTGTGTGTGAGAGAGAGAGAGAGAGAGAGAGAGAGAGAGAGAGAGAGAGAGAGAATGAAAGGATCAAATAAATTACAATACATTTTGAGCAGAAACATTTTAAAAACCTAAAAATGGTAAAACATGTATAATCGAGTGTCATAGCTGTAGAGATGAACACAGTGGAGTAGATCTGATGTTTGGATTGAATGAATGAAACAAGAAGCTACTTCAGTGATGTACTGTCGAAATGTCAGTCGTGTCTATTTTTAGACTTTTTGTGGAGACTGTGATTGATCAGTTAAGTTTTCATCACTGTATGTAGATCTGTAACGATTAGTCCATTCAATTAAAAATGAATCTGCAGCTTGATAACCTCTTAATCGTTTTAGTCATTTTAAAAGTAAAAATAGCTAACAATCACTTGTTCTGACTTTATTAAATGTGACTATTTACTTGTTTTCTTACTTCTCTATCATATTAAAGCTGACCATCTTTGAGTTTTGGACTGTGCACAAAACTACAGATTTTAAGATGACATCTGGGCTCTTGGGAATTGTAACGTGCATTATTAAATACTTTAATAAAATCTTTATAGACTAATGAATTGAGGAATCAAGAAAAGAATCTGCAGATTAATCACCAAGGTATGTAATTGTTACTGTAATTTTAACTTCTTTGCCTTAAAACAATAAGCATCTTGCATACACTGAACGCACAAAATGTAAAATAAATGCACCTCTTAGGGTCATTTACTGGTTCCTGCTACTTAAATGTGACGATTTGATGCTTTTCCTTTGTCTTAAATTATAGTAAATTGAATACTTTTGGGTTTTGGACTGTTGTGGAAGATTAAAATAAATTACATTTTCTTTTAATTTCCTTATATTTCATAGACAAAGCGATTAATCAGCGCATTCATTGATAATAGAAAATAATAGTTGGTTGTAGCCCTAAATGGCCTTTGCTGTGTGAAACTGCATCTCTAGTCCTTTACCCTGAAGGCTAATGTTTTATTTCATAAAACTGTTCATTTTTATGATGTTACTGGAGGTGGCCAGTCGGCACTGCTATAAAACATATTTTCATAACGTGCACTGATGGAGGGAATACAGGTGGATAGGTTTTTTCCTCCTCAAACATCAGTCACGGATCACAAAAAGAGGTGAAGTTTCAACATGTCAGG